GGGTCCAGCTCCACGTTTTTAATTGGGAGGTGGCATCAAAGGAGAGGTAAAAAATCATTTAGAGAGAGAAAGAAAAGAGCGAGAGAGGGAGGGAGAGGGGGAGAGGGAGAGAGAGAGGGAGAGAGAGAGGGAGAGAGAGAGAGGGAGAGAGAGAGAGAGAGAGAGAGAGAGAGAGAGAGAGAGGGAGGGAGAGGGAGAGGGGGGGGGGAGGGAGAGGGGGAGAGGGAGAGCGAGAGGGAGCGAGGGAGAGCCGAGAGGGAGAGAGAGTGGGAGAGAGAGAGGGGGGGGGGATGCCTTTTCTTGTGTGATGTGTTTAAAACTGGACGGAGTTCGGAGTTCTCTCGCGCCATGCGTGTCCCTCGGGGCCTTACTTAGGGCGCCCTCACGTCAGGGCTCAGGACCTGCTGCTGCTGCTGGCGGCTCGGCTCTTGAGCGGTGTTTTATTTGGGTGCGCGCGAACCGCGCCTACACCACGTCAGGCCACCCCTTGTATGGAATGTGCCTATGACCTCTTTGTCCGCCCCCTCACCTCCAGGGGCCTCCCTCAACCATCCCTCTATATCTACTACCTCTCTCTGCTCCCTTGCTCCCTCGCTCGCTCGCTCTCGCTCGCTCTCTCTCTCTCTCTCTCTCTCTCTCCACCCGCCCCTTTACCTCGTCCCAAATTCCATCGCTCCGTTGCCTTGTGTGCCCCTCACACTTCAGGGAGCCCCCGCCCTCCACTCAAAGGGGTGTGGTGACAGTGCGCGCCCCTGTAGGTGTGTGTGAGTGAGTGTGTGTATGTCAGTGTGTGTGAGTGTGTGTGTGTGTTTTGAGTAAGTGTGGAGGAGAGGGGTGAGGGTGTTGATGTGCGGGAAGAGTGAGTTTGGCGGTGGTGCGGGAGACAACACAGTCATTGCTCCACATCGACGCGCCACACAGAAACGTCGAAAAGCCGCTCCGACAACCCCACAAACTCTCCAGGAATGTGTCAAATAAGTCGGGTGAAAGGCGTGTTGTCTGGGTCGGACGACGGACGACGTCTTTGTCAAACGCGGAGTCTGAAGAGCCATCACCAATGGACAAAAATGTGCTAAAATTCACGAAAATTAAGTTGACCCACATTTGTGCGTGATCCGTTGCAGCTGAGAAATTATAAACTAATGATTGGCCTCGCTCACTTTCTCGCTGTCTTACACTACGACAATATATTAAATTTTGTGCATTAACTGTAAATGTAAACTTGTTAGTTTACCTGAATAAAATTAACCACATGTGTGTCCAATTTCGTGCATAAATCCGTACGAACGAATCACTACATTCGACATGTACGAAAAAGTAAATTCCCATTCAATGTGTTGTGTAGTTTTCCAATCGCATACTGGCGAGCCGGGCGGCCTGCCTCTATGGGCTTGGGTGGGCTTGCGTAAAGTCCCTAACCTCGGGGATAAGAACCTCCGTCACTCGCCATTACGAACCTGTCAATATCAGCCTTTCCAAGCTCCCATGGCGCCTGATGGGTAGGCAACATCGTGCCTGAAGTGCATGCGTGTGTTGCAGGGTGGCCTATCCCGAGTCTGGCAGGCGCCGAGCTCCTGTAATTTGCCGAATAAATCTGAGAATCTAACGCACTGTTTACTTTCTCGGACGATCGCCTGAAGTGTGGATGTTCTAAGCCTTCCTCTTTGGTCGAGATGGGGCCAATCCCGAAACTCGACCGAGAGGTTGAGGTTCGAATGTACTTGATGGCAGACTCACGCTGCGCACTTTCGTAGCTATGCTGTGCCGCATGCACTCGTGAGGGTGTCTTGCCTACTCGCCATAATGAGCCGTGGGCAGCGAGGATAAGCAAGATTGGCCCGCCCGCTGCTGGCACCCTTGTATGCGGTACAACATAACTACAAAAGTCAGCGGCGTGAGTCAGCCACCTACTCACTAAATGGACTTATATATTTTATTTGTACAAACTTGAGCAATCAAATTTTTTTGCACAAATTTCTGCATTAATTTGAAAACTTTTGTGCATTATTAAATTGTAGGAAATCATGAACTTTGTCTTAGAAATTTGTGCGAAACGAAAACGTGGGTTTGTCTTAGTGGGAACATTTGCACAAAAACATACAAATACATTTCGTGTGAAGTACAACTCCTCCAAGCTTCAACTGAGGCACTATTTCTAGGGCTTGCGGATGTCGACTCGACTTTTTTTTTTTCCTAGATTTACTACCTCGACGAAAAGAGCGAATTAGAATACCACAACCCCTGCATAAATACGGAAGCATGCATTCCAGTGGGTAGTGCGAGACCATGTATTTCTGCGATGGCATAAGATGGCATTGGTAGACAACATTCTTCCGACCTTGCCTCGCTTCGCCGCGCTCGCACTGGTTCGTGTGCCCTGTGCCCTGTTGTTGCAGGTCACCCCCCCCCCTTTACCCCATAGCACCGCTACGCAGCGCCTCTTCCGCCTCATCTATCTTTTAGTCGGTCACGTCTGGCAATGTGAATCCCATAATCCAAATTTGAAAGCGGCCCCGGGCACATGGCTTCACAAGCTGGCAGGGCGGCGCCGGGCGTCCAGACAGCCGAGATTAATCCCCCAGCCATTGCAATTTTCTAATTGCACACCCTTCTCTCCCTCCTCAGCCCCCCCCCCTCCCGCCCCCCACCACCTCTTACTCCGGTCCGCACATCTCTGCGTAGTATACAACGGGATAAAGCCCAGGCAGGCGCGGCCCCGGTCCAGTTCTTTGCAGCTGGTGCGCGGCCACGCAATCCCCTCGGCGACGGTTCCAATAATCGCCCCGATTTGGCTGTCCTGACCAGACGAGACGGCCGACTCCTTTTATTCACTTTTTTTTCAGACGAGCACGGACCGGCAAGGCCGAAGTGGAGAGTGAGTGGACGTGGACATGGGGCAAGGGTGTGGTTTTCACCCCCCCCCCCCCCCCTAAAGCACACTACGGTCAGACTGTGCACTAGACACGCAAGTGTGCGAATGTCGCGCACTTGCAGGTGCGTGAATGCCCATAGTCGCACACTTAGCGGAAAACGTGCGAGCTTTCCAATGTTATTCTCTCACTTGTGCCTCCATATGAACGAATGACGTTCACACCACACACCAACAAGAGTTTGGTGCGCGACATTCACACACCTGGCAGGTAAATTGCCGGTACCATCATTGGGGGCGCTTGTGAGCATACGAGGGCCTCCACCACTTCGCCGCCCACCCGTTCCGCCGCGCCGTGGCGGCTGCGTCTGTTCGTCAACCGGCGAGACAATGGAGCTGTCAAAGCAAAGGGGTAGCCTGGTGCCCGCGCGTCGGTGGCCAACCCGTCACACCGAGTCGCCATCATGCCTTGTCAACACGGTTTCGGTTTCCCAAACTGGCTCAACTCCGAGCCAGGCGGTGCTGGCTCTTGGACGTTCGTTATATCGGTACTGTACACTCTCGGACCTATACTGATTTTCTTAGTATGTATTTACGTGTTATACTGAATGACTAAGTTTGTTAGTTACTCTACATTTTGTTGGCAAGTAACTTTCCGGTTCTAACTTCAACTCTTTATAATTCAAGATGTCAATCAGTGTGTTTCCCCTGTGAAACTCCTTCGGTTTCCTTTGAAACCCGTGACCTTTTCTTAAAAATGAGAAATCAGGGCAGCAGTGAAACGATTTAGCACCATCACACAATTACCCAAATCCACAAGCGCGCCTAACAAGTTGAGCGCAACGGGAGAGTGGGGAGAAAGCGGACCCCAAAGAAATACAATCAGCAAAGCACTGCACTCGGCACGCGTCAAATCATCATTTCAAGGTTTTGAACAGCGAGGTGATGAAAGGCGATTGAGCGCGCAGGCGTGTCGGCGTGGTGACGGCGGTGACCTGCCGCCAAAGTGGCACCGTCAAAGACGCCACGCCAAATCAAAGCAGCTTAACGGTGGGCTGTAAACGATGTGCTCGTCGAGTCGCCGAGGCTGTTCGCGCGGGGCTCCCCCTCTCCGTCTCTTACTCCCCCCCCCTCCCCTTTTCTTCTGACCCTTTCCTCCGAGGGGTGCCCAACCGATACCCAACTCGGACGATCGTGTCTAAACAAAATTGGTAATCTGTCGACATTTCTTGTTAACTTCTCTGTAATCCTTCGCGAAAACCGTATAATTCGATGTTACTCTGAAAGGAAATAGCAGGCTGCTAATCACCAGCATTAATCTTTAGTATAATACATGGTAGTGAGGTAATCATCAAGT